ATGGTGATAATACTAAAAGGGGCGAGCAGCGCCGATGATGAAGGTGATGATTAAGATGATAATGGCTATGATGATGATCGCGCCCATCACCCTGCGCTAACTCAAGATGCTGCTAGTGCTGATGACCGGATGATGATGATGGTGATGATACTAAAAAGGGCGAGCAGCGCCAATGATGAAATTTTAACAATGAGTGTCGCGCAGCCCCCCTAAACATGGTGTTAAATTTGAAACCTACCCTGTTGATGCTGATAAAGACGATGAAGATGACGAATAATTCCCTGATGATGATACATGTCGTTGTAGCCCATTGCTGCAGATAAATGACCTCTCCCCGTTGCTTGATACTGCTGCTTGTATGTCGCGAAGACGAAGACAGTCTCAAACACTCCACTCCTTATCCCCCTCCACTCCTCCTCCCATCTCGTGGGACACACAGGGCTCCTCTCCCTCTTGCTCCTGGCCGACCTCCTCCACCAAATTGTGCAAGACGAAGAGCACAAATGATTCCTCCCGATGCAAGACCCAGTAGAGAGCCTTACCCCGCCTCACACGGCATGCTTACCCGCAGCATCGCCGTGAGAGACACCAAACAATGAGATGGCACTACAAGTGCTTTCAAGTGTTAGGAGATAGAGAGTACGTCCTACAGCAGCAGCAACAGCGCTGACTCTCTGCATCGTTGAGCACCTATCATGGCCACCCTCTATGCCCAGCAGCGCCCAACATCGCCGCGCGTTACCACTCAACCACACCTGGCATAGTCGCGCCACGTCTGCCCGCTACTCCATCTCTCGTTGGTGAGATTGTAACGGCGGGGCGGAGTGCCCCCCGGACACGCTGCACCCCCGCCTCCGACCACATAAATTCCTAATTAGGGTTAACACAGTTACCAATATTTAACCGATGAAAACATACCCAAAGTAATGTGTCAAGCCACAACCGCGTCAGGAACGGAAACCAAAACCAAAAGAACTAATAAAACACTAGGAAAAAGTATTCGCCTAAAGCGGCCATATCCAACGAAGAGAAGCAGCAGTTGGCCTAACACGACACACTCGACGATAAAATATAACAATCAGGTTCTCCTGTTTGTCAGCAGCCAAACACCTGATACGAATGCCCATCACAGTCTCATGTACGTGAAGCCAACCGCGGGCAAAGCCTTCGTCATAGTCGGACAAACTCACTCCCCTGCCCAATCGATGAGAAGCTCTCGCACAGCGAAGCAACTAACACAGCAGATAATGCTCCAAATCTGAAGACCAGACGCGCCGACTCAGACGTGCCGATCCCGGTTACAAATAACATGTAATTGGTTACAAATAGCGTATATATGGCATGCCGCCCCCACTCCCGGCGCAGATGTCGGTCACGTCAGACAAACTCCATAGCCGCAAAACACAGCTATGGCCGTCGCGGGTGGTAAGGATGCCCGGCCACTGGGCATGGTGACCTCAGGTTTAGCGCCTCACCCGGCGGTGTCGGGCCGCGACGTGCCGACCAAGAAAGGAAAATTTTCAGAGACTTCAGAAAAGAAAGGGAAAAAGTTCAAAAAAGAAAGCAAAAAAAAAAAAAAAAAAGTTTGAAAAACTTAAAAAAAGCGAAAAACGTTCAAACAAAAAAAGGGAAAAAGGAAAGGCAGTAACTTTTGTCATGGGCGCCATCTCTTTTTTTTTTTTTTTTTTTTTTTTTCCTTGAATGTCTCCGTAGCCAGAAAAGGGCAGTGCGGTTGCAACTTTTTTGTCGAAGCTAAGGATGGATGGGGGGACCATTTCGGACAACAAAGTTTAATAGCGCCAACCTGCGCCGCGGACCGGTCAGCTGGGCCCGGCCATACTCCGCGGACTAGGGCAGTGGTGGTCAACTCCATCGCTGCGCTTGGTCGTCCTGGTGTCCGCCTGGTGCTTCTGCCCGGGCGTAGATGGTTTTTCCACGAGGCATCTCAGGAGACGGTATGTCCGCGTGAGGGATGAAAGTTTAGATCGAAGAGGCAGTGCGTTTGTTTTGGGCGAACAGGTACAACAATTACATCAAGAATAACGACAACAACAGCATCTTACATCAACAACAATGGTAGTGATGGAGGTGGCGATCAGGCACGACGTTGGGCTGCAGCATCCTATGTGGAGTACGGAAGTTGCTGTTGCCTCGCCCGAGGAGGAGGAAGCAGTGCTGGAGTTGGTGAGAATGTATAAATGCCAGGTGGAAGACATTCATGCACTGCTGACTCAACAACGCCATAATCTGCCAGTGGAGTTTTTGGTGTAGGGTGAGGAAATGTTCATCGGGTGGGAGGAGGAGCTCCATGCAAATCTCTCCGTCCAACAGTTCGGTGGCACTAAAAGAGCAAAAGTGATGGCTGGGCTGCGTGATTGCACCGAAATGCTCGGGAAAGTGAGAGAAATCTTTGTTGAGCTTTGGGCGGGGCTGCCCCCCCATCTGCACGTGAATACACGAATGGATGATTCGAAACGGTGCTGCTACATGGACTTTGAGGAGGGGCAAGCCACGTTGCAGGGCCGCTACTGTGAAGATGACGGGGGCATCACAGAAGATGTGAACGATAACAGCCTCATTGCCTGCAGTTCTGCCACTTCCACCGATAAAGATGATATAATCGCCAACAAGAACAGTGATGACGACAACAACAACAACAACAACAACAACAACAACAACAACAACAACAACAACAACAACAACGACAATCACAACGGCGATGTTGGGTGTTCCATGTGGAGATGACGATGACAACAATACCGACAACAAAATTGACGATGACAACAACAGCAACATCAACATCAACAACAACGACACTCACAACAGCGAGGATGGTGCTCAGTGTGGTGTTCCACGTGGAGATGACGACGATAACAATACCGACAACAACATCGATGACAACAACAACAACAACAACAACAACAACAACAACAACAACAATAACGACAATTACAATTACAACAACGATAATTACAACAGCGAGGATGGTGCTCAGCGTGGAGACAAAGGTGAAACATGTATTTGGACCATCAATAATAACAAGGCAAAAAACGACGGGGAGGAGAGTGCTCAGCGCCGGGACTATTGTCATAAATGCGTCAGGGCCATCCAAGTCATCAACACAGTTAATGATGATAATATTGCGGGCCCGGTAGATAATGACTACAACAGCGGGCGTACGGGGCAGGGGCTGTTTCTCGAGCGTCTTGCCTCTCCCGGTGGGGGTGGTGCTATTGGGGATGGAACAAAGATGTTGTCTACCGCTATGTCTATAAGTAGATGTCTGTTCGGCCGATATGTTATCGCGCCGCTTCTGTGGGACCCGGGGGGGGGAGGATTGAGGGGTGCGACATCGAGGATCCTTCTCATTTGTGCGCCTGAAACTCTACGTCTGTCTTAGGGACACATGGCACTCCGACATCGGCGACATGAGTTTGTTGTTTTCCGTTTGACATTTTTCCTACCCCGAATGCCTCTACCCCTTACGGTGTTGCATGGAGTGATAGTAGATGATAAGGGTTTCGGCGTAGAAATCTGAGTTTCGATGTGATGAGCAGTTTATCCCCTCAGTTGAGGGCAATCAATGCTGCTAATCAGGTGGTAGAGTGCCGCGTGTTGGATCGGCATGTTTTTTGTGGGAATGACACGTGGCGTGTTGACATGAATTCGTAATTGTTGAGGGACGCTGGACCCGATTTCCAGCAGGTGTTGCTCCCCACCAATAGATGGAGCCTCCCCGAGCATGCTAGTGGTGTCTGCTCTTATCAGCACCCCTAGCATTTACTCGGGTTGYTTTTCTTCAAAAAAAAAAAAAAAAAAAAAAAAAAAAGGATGGATGGGGGGGGAGCCAAATGAGAGGGGGGAAATTCAGAAAAGATTTAAAAGAAAGGAGATTTTCTTTTTTTTAAAGAGAGGGAAAACCTCCCAAAAAGAAAGCAAAAAAGTTTTTTTTTTGGGGTAACTTCGGCGCGGTCACGAAAACAGTTTGTAATTGCACTTCAGGCAATCCCACGAATACAACACACCCCCACGCGACCCCACCGGACCCGAAACGTAGGTCATATACATTCACCATTACCGGCTCTTTTGCCTCAAGTGCAATTACAAACTCGAAACCTGACTGCGCCGTAGTTTTCTCTTTTTTTTTTGAAGGGGAAAAAAAGACAAAAAAAGACAAAAAAAAGACAAAAAAAAGACAAAAAAAAGACAAAAAAAAGACAAAAAAAAAGAAAAAGGAACAACTTCAAAAAAGCAAGGCAGTACCTTTTCCACTGGCGCCACCTTGAATGTCCCTTCCGAGACTCTCTCTTCCCAGTGCTCGCTGACTTCCACACTGACATGGCCGGAATTGTCCACAGAAAGGTAAGTGTCAGCAACTCGTTCCGCATCGAAACCGCACGGCCAAACAACTTTCCACCGCAGATCTACGACTGCCGGTCCTGGATTTTCCACATGAAATGTTTTGGATTCCGGTGGCGCACAAAATGGGAGCGACATCCAATTCAACAAAAGGGTACTGTTCTCGTCAAGTCTCGGGATCGCTTCTGGCATGTGATGCTCCTGATAAATGCGTAGTGGCATTCCGATCACACCGATCTTTACTGGAATTACCTTTTCTTCAAGATAACCAACCTGGTAGGATATGCCCACAACCAGCCAACCAAAAAAAAAAAAAAAAAAAAAAAAAGGAAAAAAAAAAAAGCCCACAACCAACCAGTGAGTAAGAGTTAGGAAAAGAACCAATTTCTGGACGTTGGGAACTGACCCTTTTTCTCTTTTTTTCCTTTTTTTCTTTTTTAACAAACAAACAATGCCCCTTTTTTTCCTTTTTTTTTCTTTTTTAACAAACAAACAAAGCCCCTTCTATTCTGGGGGGCGTCAGTCCGGTTGCTTATCACCAGCAAGCGAAAGTTTGTGAATCTTTTTTTTTTTCTTTTTTACGAACTGACTTTTTTTTTCTTTTTCTTTTTGGGACCATTTCTCAACTTATGCGTTTTCCTTGCTCAGGGGCCGCCATGCTAATAGCTCTTCTTTCTGTATCTTTCCAGTTTTCATGGACGTCCTGACGGATGGAACTGAATTTTTTTTTCTTTTTTTCCACTCAGCCCATGTGGCCAAAAAAAATTTAAAAATGGTAAACACAAACATAATTGTTAAACCACCAGTACTTGGTCGGCGCGAAACAGCGCGCAGCCCGTTTTCAGGTTCGTTTTCAGGTTCGGCATCGATAGCTGGGCCATGAACTGGTGGTTTAACTAACAGATTATGTGCTCAAACCCCTTTTCCACTGCATGAAGATTGCCAGAGTTATGACTGTCAAATGCTTGTGCTTGTTGTTCGGCATCTTGAATGAGCCATTTTTTTTAGGGAGTAATAAGTAAGTCATCAATTCCTAGTGAAATTCCTGTTTTCGTTCCATATTAAATCCTAGTGCTTTCAGTCTATCTAGTATATGGGAGGAATCACATGAAAAGGAGGCCAAAACAAAGCATTGAGCTTTAGGAAGAGGGGACAATACCCAAGACCTCAGGTCCTCAACAATACTCTTTTTCACTTAGCCAATGTGGGTGGGTGCATGCTACCCACATATAGCTGCTACAGCTTGCCACCGTCTTCACCCAAATAGAACGCTGGGTCATTATTGTACTCTATCTAGACTCGAAGTTGTGCCAAATACAGCTATAATGACCCGCCAGGCGTTCTATTCGGGTGAAGACGGTAGTCTGTTAGTCAACAGATCACAAGCTCAAACCTTGACGCAATCAAGGGCCACAAGCGAAAAGACCGAGTGAGTTCCCCGTTCGGTATCGCCGCATATGCTCTCGGACTCAGCTACCACAAGTGAGTTCCCCGTTCGAGGGCCCAGTGAGGCGAAGGGCACTCACGAACTGGTGTGGCGAGGGCCCAAATGAAGGGAGTTTCCAGACTTGAGAGCACTCCCAAAATTTTACTTGGATTTGGGCCCTCGCCACACATCGAAATCGGGCCAGAACCTCTCAATTTTACTTAGATTCGGGCCCAGATGTGTGGCGAGGGCCCAAATGAAGGGAGGCCATGACAAGCTACGAATTGGGCCAGAACCTAGGCTACCAGCCGGGCCGCCCGGCTCACCCTGTTTTCCCTATGGGCCCGGCCGTGCAAGGACCAGGGAAGGTCCCAGCAAAAAGGGGGGGAAAAAAAAACGAAAAAAAACTTAAAAAAAGGGATAATTTGTGAAATGACCCCATGAGTTGAGATATATGCCAAAACGCCCCTGAAAGATGTGGGTAGAGCGGAATGCCCTTTGGGCCGAAATCTTTGTGTTGTGCCCCTGTCAGGCGGGTGTGCAACTTTGCAATCTGGACCTCCCCGTTTGGGCCTTGGCCTTTTGCAATAGCGCCTAGGAAAAGTAGGCAAGTACTTGGGCATTTTGCAAAGTTGGATGGTACCCAGTAGGGGTATATTGCAAAGATGGCACACCAGGGGTATTTCACAAACTTTTTTATTTTGTCAGAGGGGCATTCCGCTCTACCTACATCTTTTAGGGGCATTTTGGCATATATCTCAACTTATGGGGGTATATTGCAAATTATCCCCAAAAGAAACCTTTTTTTTTTTTCTTTTTTTTTTTTGCCCGAAAGGCAGCCGGTGCCGTATGATGCAGGCATTCTGGCCTGCTTCATACGACAGCCGTTTTTGTATTACACAGGCCGGAAAACGGGTCGGGAGTCCCTCACATCATTGAAAAGTTTACAGAGAGCAATAATCCCAATGTACTCTGCGAACCCCACATTCATTCCAGGGGCCAAGTCCCACTAGAA